GGATCATATATTATAAATTGATGTGAGGTCAATTAATGATAATTTAAACACTGACAAATCAGCATTGTATTTTGTGAATATGATATAGTGAATAAATTTGAATAGGTGCTATGTATCATTGATGCATGGTTATGCTTATGCAAAGCAATATTTTGTACTTAAACTACAGAGTAACTGAGTTAGATATTATTTATTTTGTATTTCTATGACTATAAACATCATTGGAAAATTATTGCAGTGTATTTACTTGTTTTAAAAAAGCTTTATTGTTATAACATCATCAGAGAGGGAAAAAATAAACAATGAAAAATATATTTAATTACAGCTAGTGTTATGAGATTATATTTTTTTTTTACAAAAGCCGACAATAGTTTATGCATACGGATTTTCTAAACCCGGTTCCGTTTTTATATATTACTACCGCCTCAACTTTGGCGAAGGCATGGGTGCGTATAAATATTTAGATTGTGATCAATATAGCGCAATATTATATTTTTTAATGTCACTTAAAGTTTTGACAGGTATTATTCTAAGTACCTGTTGTTACAAATCATCTGATTAATATCTTGTACCAAAGTAAACATCCCTTTTCGTGACCCCATCGGCGGCGGAAATCCGCGACTCCGCAACGGTACGTCAAATAGACTCTTTAAAGTGGATTTGTACTTGAATGTGGCCGTAAATTGTCTTTATATTAAAGGGCGCTGATAAACATACGGTTATGAATAAATAAAACGGTCCCTTTCGCAGAGAAACACCCCCAAAACCACTCCTTTTCGTCATTACAACTCCTTTTCGCTCCTTTTCGTGGTTTACCCCTACCGAAAAAGGGTAGCACGCACGCGCTAAGGGGAATAACCGCTATCGATATGATTGTTTACTGTGTCGCTATGAAGAGGTCCTGTTTATCACAATGCATCTACAGAAAGAGCAAAATATCATCTTTCGTTTTTTCTATGTCTGCTGATTTATACAGGTACGTAGTTGTAAGACGATTCTTTCATACATCGTTTACTGTTTAGCAGCTTATCCGAGTTCGGACGTCTTTGTAACAAGATAGGCCTACTGGGACAATTGGTACACTACCCAAATTGGTACACGGTCAGAAAATTGTTCGAATAGTACTTTAAAATTGAATTTGAGCATTTTCCTTTGACAGTATAACAAAATAGATATTTATGAGCATTTTTGCAGAATAGTTTTGTTTTCAGGAACATTTTAAGAGTACACGATTACTTCAAAGTAAACATATCAGAAAACCAGTAAAAACGACGTACGTCGACGAAATTTTGGAGGATTTTCAAGGGGTTAAATGTAAGCATGTTTAAATGTTGATTTCTGGTCCTTATTTTCGGATAATATAAAAGTGAATATATACAACTATAGTTCAGTATGGTATCTATAAAAGCAATATATTTTGTTGTAATCGGCACATCAATTTGTAAAAACAATTTCCATAGCCTGCTGTGATATGGTGTACCAATTTGGGTACTATTTACGGCCAAAAACTGACGAAATCTCAGTCCGAGTTTAGCGTTCTATTTTCAAAAATAAATTACTTAGATATAAATCTTTTCCTGAAAATGAACCACCATAGGTAGTCTTTGTCAAGAATCAAGAAACATTCCAGATACAAGATCTGAATTTTTAAAGATCACTAAAATACTGTCAAAATTGTACCAATTGTGGTAGCGTGATGTTAACTACCTACAGTAGCCAAAAAGAAAACCTTTGTTCAAAATAAAACATTTGTGAAACTTATGAATACATATACTGAAAGGCCGCTTCATATTATCGGCAAAACGCCAATCGTTAAAATATTGCTGCTGTGAGGACAAACTTGTATTAGCATAATATAAGGAGACCTATTTTGTTATATTTCTTCAGTTAGGTCTACACTAGACGCTCTGACCAATTAATGGACGAGAATATGAAAAGGCGTCACATCTGGACGAATATGGCTACGATGGACAGCTTGGCTGTTTTGTTCTTGATGTATTCGATGTGTTGTACAGGTAAGATCAACTTGTATGTTTTATTAATACATCACACAGTACCGGCATTTGGGTTATACTGTATATGACAATAACCCAACTAAAAATCTGTACCGGTAGGCCAGAGACGTATAAAGCCACGTCTCTGGGTAGGCTTACAGCTAGATCTAGGCTAACACTATCGTCTAGTCACCAGTTTCTGTGCGTTATGTATTTCTGCGCAGCCATTTTATCAAGCTATATCTCGTAACTACGTGACCTGCTGGACACAACACCAGGATATTTTAGACGTTTGGCTATCGTCTGTAAACTGACACAAAAATTACCGGAAGTTCATCCGGAAAACATCAGAATTAACAGGGACAGTATATAGAGGGGATTGGCAACTCTGCACCAGTCAAGATTCTATAGCACGTCGCTTTTGTGTTTGTTCACCGAACCGCAAAGTCATCGAGAGCCCCTCTCGATCAGCCCGCGCTTGCACACTAGCGTTACCATATTGTCAACAATCTCGCCGAGATCGAAGTGTTTTGATAACGGTAATAGCCCTGATTGGGACTGTGTAGGTCTTCTTTTATTCGAGGGACTGTCGTTGCCACTATGTCTAGCCTTTCGGCTGTGTTGGTGGCTATAACAACAAATCACATTTCGTAAAGCACGTTCCAGTGAAAATAATGCTAATATTGACACTTTTTGACACAAAAACAGCACAAGTGATTTGTTATTTTTTTGCCATAAAAATTAGTACTACATATCATAACATTATTCAACTTTCTATCGCTGTAAATTTCAAAAAGAAGTATTTCTTAAATGAGCTGATCCTCGAATGCAGGCGATACTTTTTTGTTGCGTTTAACATTTCCGGTTCTTTACGGTTTTTAACAACACGTGTCCTTCGTTATCAGACGAGTAATTTCATCTTTGACATCCCTATCGTTCTAAATAATACAAATTAAATCAGGCCTACTTAACATAGAAATTACTTGGCTGTTTATTGATATTAATTGTTTTAAAAATTACACGATAGTTTATAAAATTAATCAAAACAGTGAGCAGTTACCAACTGCTTTCGCAATGATTTACGTTCCAGTGAAAAATATGGCTGATATTAACACTTTTTGACACAAAAATAGCACAAGTTAAATTATATTTTTTGCAATTAAAATGGGTTGGGTCGTTATAAAAAATATTCAGCTTTCTATTGCTGCTAATTTTAACAAGATGGGTCAAATACTTTTGGAGTGAGGTGGTTCACATACATGTGTTTTTTTATCCTGCATTTTTGTTTACAGTTTTTAACAACACAAGTCCTTCGTTACCAGACGAGTAATTTCATTTGTGACAATGCTATCGTTGCAAGTAATGCAAATCAAATCAGGCCTACGTAACATAGAAATTACTCAGCTGTTTATTGATATTAATTGTTTTAAAAAATATATTCGATAGTTTATAAAATTTAATCAAAACAGCATACATGTGTTTTTTTTTTATCCCACATTTTTGTCTATCGACGCCCACCAAAATACTCTGAGCCACGCGTTACATCGCTTTAAAAATAGAAAAATAAACTCCAAAAACAAGACATCAATTACTATGATACCACAGATTTTATCAATTAAAAGTAATACAATCAGCTTACAACATAAAAACGTAAGAACACTTATCAAAATTTGTTTGTTTTCACACCAACTTCTGCATCTAACGAAGCGGTATCGACGCCATCTTGCTTTGTCAAAATTGAGATAGGTGACGCTTGCTATCTGCTCCGGAATCAGGGGGAGGTAAGTCTAGATTGATGTGTCATAAAATTGGAAAGGCAGAGAGGGAGTTACTGATCCCCTTCACTATACGTCCCTGGAATTAATCACTGATTAAAAAACATGCATAAATATGCAGTTTTGCTTAATGCACTTTTTATCTTGCTCAAAATGAACCCATACCTGAAAAAAACGGTAATATATTTCATTCATGAACCGGTCATTTTTGTAGTCTGACAAACGTACGAAAATGTCGTATGCAAATGAGGCCACATCTCCTCGCTGATTTTTTTCCAATTCCGAAGAGCCAAGGAGACATCCTTATATCGATAAACAGTGTTTTTAGCTCACCTGGCACGAAGTGCCAAGTGAGCTTATGCCGTGGTGCGGCGTCCGTTGTCCGTCCGTCGTCCAGCGTCAATATTTTACTTTAAACGACTTCTTCTGAATAACCGAAAAGCCTAGGGTGTCGATATTTGGCCAGAAGCAAACTTAGATGAAGGGCTACAAAGTTTGTTAAAATTAATGACCTTCACCTATTTTCAAGGTCACATGGGTCAAATATGTCAAAAACTTTAAACATCTTCTTCTCAATAACCAAAATGCTCAGGGAGTTGATATTCGGCCAGTAGCATGCTTGGGTGAAGGGCTACCAAGTTTGTTCAAATGAATGACCTTCAATTATATTCAAAGTCACAGGGTTCAATTGTATAAAAAAAAACTTTAAACAACTTCTTCTGAATAACCAAAATGCTCAGGGTGATGATATTTGGCCAGTAGCTAGCTGAGATGAAGGGCTTCAAAGTTTGTTCAAATGAATGACCTTCACCTATATTTAAGGTCACAGGGGTCAAATATGTTAAAAACTTTAAACAACTTCTTCTCAATAACCAAAATGCCCAGGGTAATGATATTTGGCCTGTAGCATGCTAAGATGAAGGGCTACAAAGTTTGTTCAAATGAATGACCTTCACCAATAATCAAGGTCACAGGGGTCAAATATGTCAAAAACTTTAAACAACTTCTTCTCAATAACCAAAATGCACAGGGTGATGATATTTGGCCAGAAGCATGCTGGGATGAAGGGCTACAAAGTTTGTTCAAATGAATGACCTTCACCCATATTCAAGGTCACAGGGGTCAAATATGTCAAAATCTATAAACAACTTCTTTTGAATATAACCAAGAGGTCAAGGGTGATGATATTTTGCAAGTAACATACTATTCGACAATAACTTACAGAGTTATTGCCCTTTGTAATAATATTATTATTGGACCTTGTGAACACGAGAACTTGGGTAAATGTTAACCGAGTTTGACGAAACTTTGTATGCAGCTATATATCAATAAGATCCCGAACGAGTTTGAAAATGGGAATTATTCGACAGTAACTTACAGAGTTATTGCCCTTTGTAATAATATTAATATTGGACCTTGTGAACACAATAGCTTGAGTAAATGTTAACCGAGTTTGATGAAACTTTGTATGCAGCCATATGTCAATAAAATCTCATATGAGTTGGAAAATGGGAATTATTCGACAGTAACTTACAGAGTTATTGCCCTTTGTAATAATATTATTATTGCACCTTGTGAACATGAGAACTTCAGTAAATGTTAACTGAGTTTGATGAAACTTTGTATGCAGCCATATATCATTAAGATCCTGGACATTTTCGTAAATGGGAATTATTCGACAGTAACTTACAGAGTTATTGCCCTTTGTAATATAATTATTATTGGACCTTGTGAACACAATAACCTGAGTAAATGTTAACTGAGTTTGATGAAACTTTGTATGCAGCCATATATCAATAAGATCCTGGACAAGTTCGTAAATGGGAATTTTTCGACAGTAACTTACAGAGTTATTGCCCTTTTTAATATAATTATTATTGGACCTTGTGAACACGATAACTTGAGTAAATGTTGACCAAGTTTGATGAAACTTTGTATGCCGCCATATATCAATAAGATCTCGAATGAGTTCGAAAATGGAAATTTTTCGACAGTAACTTACAGAGTTATTGCCCTTTGTAATAATATTATTATTGGACCTTGTGAACACGAGAACTTGAATAAATGTTGATGAAGTTCAATGAAACTTTGTCCGGTAATTATTTGACGGTAACCTGCAGAGTTATTGCCATTTGTCATTATATTATTATTTGTCCCTGTGATGTTGATTGATATTACACAAGAATAGATGTAAATTCATGTGGTACACCTTTTTAGGTCACCTGAGACAAAGTCTCAAGTGACCTATTGCGATCGCCTTTTGTCCGGCGTCATCCGGCGTTCGGCATGCTTCTGTAAACAATTTACATTGTCGACTTCTTCTCCAAAACCCCAGAACAAATTTCCATGAAATTCTGCAGAAACCTTCCATGGCCAAAGGTCAACTAAAATTGTGAATTATATGGTCCCCAGCCCCCAGGGGCCTGAGGGGCGGGGCCAAAAAGGGTAAATTTGACTAAAATTTCAAAAATCTTCTTCTCAAGACCAGATATGGTAAAATCAAATACTCTACATAGATGGAAGGGCTTTTAGGTGCTCTACCAAAATTGTGAATTTTGTGACCCTAGGGTATCACGCTTGATGTTGATAGCTTGATTGGAATTATAATCCTAAGTTGACAGTTTGATACTTTGTACATTTTAAGCCATCCCTACCCCCTAGGGCTGTAGGGTACGGGCCCAATGGAGTCTGTGTGCTAAAATAAAATTTCTTCATTTTCCTTGTTTAGAATCAGAGGTGCTAGTTTTAAAATTCTTTTCAGTCTTAAATCTGCATGCTAGATATTGAATAAGGTGGTTTAATTGTTTTTAGGTCACCTGGTCCGAAGGACCAAGGTGAGCTTATGCCATACCGTAGCGTCCGTCGTCCGTCAACTTTACACTAATAGTCATGAACCACTGAGCGGATTTTAACAAAATTTGGTGTGGAGCATCCTTGGGTGAAGAAGAACCAATTTTGTATAAATGGTGGGTCTGGCCGCCCAGGGGCCTGAGGAGCAGGGCCAAATAGGGGCAATATAGCAAATTCTTCTTTAAAATCCTTCTTCTTCTGTAGAATTGAAAGGATTTGTTCCATATTTGGTCAGAAGCATCCTTGGGGGAAGGGGAAGAAAGTTTGTATAAATGGTGGGTCTGGCCCCCCTGGGGGCTGAGGGGCGGGGCCCAATAGGGGAAGTTTAGCAAATTCTTTAAAATCCTTCTTCTTCTGTCGGAATCGAAGGATTTGTCTCATATTTGGTCTGAAGCA